TACACAAAACCAGCATTTGTTTTATTGGAGTTGTAGTGAGCTATATCCATCAATGATGTTATATATACTGGGATCATATGATAATTTATCACATTCAACAAAAACTTTAATTGAAAGATGCAACTCAGCTTGCAATGGAGAAAAAATGAACATGAACTTCAAGATTATATTAAAAAATAATTCAATGAAGAAAGTCGAAATTGGCTTTCCCTTACTTTTCAACTTACCCTTTGGAAAGCACTCATAAAACATAAAAGAAAGCAAAAAAAAAAAAGGGTAAACCTGTCTACCATTAAGGGTACTCCAAAAAGCTCGATCCACCAAATGAACCTTTTGTTTTTAGGCCCCCTTTTTATTCTTTTTTTTTCTTTTAGATTTTATTTTCACTTTAGATTCTGTATAGAGTTGCTCATAGCCCTTTGGATTTTGTAGCTATCCAAATACAATAAAGATCTCTCCCTTTCCTACTTTCTAAAATATGGGGGGAAAGACCTCGTCAAAACCCAATTTTGAAAACATCCCATTCAACTCGGTTCTCTATCACAAAAGGCTAAATTCACCATGAACCTTTTTCTCAAGCTATATTCATGGTATCTGTTGGTATAAATCACCTTGAACCTATTTCTCAGGCTTCAAAATTGACTGAATGTGAATCCAGAAACAACTTGGAGCCATAGGATTCACTGTTCCATACAAGTTGAGGTGTTTAGGGAGATAAGGTTGGCAACATGGGGTAGATGCCACCATCTTTTCATGTGTTCCTGTTTTGGATATGCACTGATGACTCAGCTTGTACACCCTATTCTCTTGGGGGGCAAATTAATCATCATCTGCAGTCATTTTTTGTTGCTTTTTGTAACTTTGTTCAAAGGAGTTCTCATTACCCAAATCCACAAGCTAAGGGGGGGCATTGTCATAATGTCCATACATCAATGATGAGTACATGAATTCTCTCTCAAATTTTTGCACCAGTCAGCGACAGCAATCAATGTGTCCAATGTTCATTCATCTGGAATCTATTATTCATCAGGATTTTCAGTTTGAAAAATAGTTGGAGTTGTGCATCACTTTAATTAGATCTTTGTGAATGTAACCGAGTTGCTGCCCATAGATCATTCAAGGGGCCATCTTTGGCATCGCAGCAGACAGCCTTTCTTTTCTGATATGCTTTTGTTTCCTACAGAGTGATTTTTGGTTCTTTTTCAAACCAAAAATCCAACTTTTTTTATATGAGAAGTGACCCAGTTCTCACATGCTCACAGCTCATCATTTTCTTCTTGTTGTGGGTTTCCTTGAACACCCAAAGAAAACCCCAACTCACACGTGTTGTTGTTATCAATGAAATAATTCCTTTGTCCCCACTGTTTTTATTTCATGGTTTCCCATTGATGATCATTATGGTTCTTTTCTTGTTAGTTTCTTTTCGCTATCAATTATTCATTGCTATTAATCGGAAACACGTCTAAAGATTAGATCTAAATTTTTCCACTTGTGCTTTGCATGTCACAGCTTTCAGGGGAAAGCTGAAGTGTAAAATTGACAATACATGAGCTTTCTGTGATAAGAACGCATCGGCTGTTCTTCGCCACCTAATGGATCAGTTGGATTGAATAATGAATCCTTCAATTTGTTTTGATTCAGAAACATTGTTTTACCATAGAGAAAACAGAAGGATTGAGAATGATGAAATAGTTGGGCGTTATTATTAAAAAAAAAAAAAAAACCCCAAAATTCATTAATTAGAAAGATGCCCAAACAGGATTAATTAAAAATATCCCTAAATTGTACAGTAAAATAAGTTCGTGTCCTACAAAACGTGTGTAACACTTTTCAGAGTGCTCTGCACAACATGAGGTGTTCAAGTGTTTCATTTATTAAAATATTAAATTGTATTCTCTAAAAAAAATATTTTCACATCCTAAGAGATTCACATTCTATAAAACACAAGACATTTAGACACATTTTGTAAGATACGATATAATCTTACAAATGTAATTTAAGAGTATTTTTCCAAATAATGACAGATGGATAGCATTTTTCTAACTAATAAATTTTGAATTTTTAAAAAAATAATAATAACGCGAAAAAGTTGTGGGTTTTTTGTTGTAGCGGATTTTAGCTCTGAAATTGATGATAATGTCCATTAATTCTCCAGGTCCCATCAACTTTAGCTTTTAGCTCCACTTTAACTCAATTACAGTACAGTGTCATGATTTTGATTCCTTCTGGTGGCCCTATCGGCTACTACTAACACTACAATTTTTCTTTTTTTTTTATACTAAGATCCACGTTATAATTCTCTTACACGATCGCTAATAGATCTATATAACTTATCAGATCTAAGTTTGTTATCTAATAATTCTATCTATTTGATTTATCATCTTATAAATAACAATAATGTTTATGAATCTAATTAAAAGTTATTATGCAAGATTGAATGAAGAGCTCACTTCTTTCAGTAATTTCCTCTTAACTTATTTCATTATTGATGGCTTTTCTTCGTCTCTAACCATCAACCGTTTTCATTTCAACAACGATGTAGGTAAAAACACATAAAATAAAATGTTAAATTGACACACTCAGTTCACTTTAAATGTCCTAATATCACTTTTTTTTTTTTTACAATTTATAAATATAATTTAAAGCATGAACTTAGTGACTTTAATGATTAAGAGATTTATTATTATCTTTTGAGGTTTCGAATTTGAGCACTACATATGTGAAGTTTTAAATTTCTATTTTAAAAAAATTGAGTCTTTAAGCCTATACTAATTTATATTTATTCAAATTTATAAAAAAAATATATAGAAATATTGGCGTGTGGTTCTGCACCATGCAAGTACCAAGTTTGCACATTTAAAAATTGGAAAAAAATGTAAACAAATATAAAGAGAAGAAAAAAAAACTATGAAAGGATCAGCGTGTTATGAATTCAGATGGAATTGGATTAGACTCGGGGATGATCCTGCATATATATTGGGAGCGGCCCTCCCTGACTTTCTGGTCCAATGACATTTCTAGTCCTCATTAGTTTAAATTCTATTTAATTTAGGTGTAAAATACCCTAATGATTCATTTTATTTCCAGTTTATCTTACTTCGGTCACTAGTTTTAAAAAGATAGCATTTTAGTCACTGAGTTGTTAATGGTAGTTACCACTTGACACTAACAAAATGGTTAAATTTTAACTTAACCCTTAAATTTTATAAATAGTACTAACTTGACCATAAATTTTAGATAAAACACGAATTTAATCCATGAACTTTAGATAAAATATCAATCTGGCCCATAAATCCAATCAACGTTGCTCTAATACTCTTAGAGAAAGGACTTGATGGTAGTGTGCAACCATAATTGTCTATTCCAGCGAAGTTAGGAATTGTAGGATATCAAAACTATATGAAATCAAGGTCTTACTGGTAAGAAACGTATTAGTATTTTAGTGGATTCAAGAAGTACCCATAAATTCTTGGACACCATGTTGGTAAAAGGAGTTGGGTTGGCAATTTTAGGTGATATGAAATTAAAGGTAGACAATTACAAATAGGGGTCATATTTACATAGTTGGGAGATGTTCTAAGGTGACATGGTGCATATAGGGAATTTAATTTTGATTTTACGGTGCTACCTATATTCAGCAGCGGTATGGTATTTGGAGAGCTAGCAATGGCCAGTCACCCTTAGACCTATTCTCTGTGACTTCACAACAATTAGTATAAAGCATGGAAAGCAATGGTGAAAATTGGCGTGGAGTCGACATAGTGGGGCATAATTAGTGAACAAATAAGCTTTTAAGTTGATGTTGCAACTCATATCCACAAAGGAACTAGGCCTTTTGCTTATATCTTAACTCCAACATTAGTGCTTGTTAGCCTTATAACAACCTTTACCCTTCTTGAAAGCTTGATCAGGCGAGTGATATTTGAATTAAAACAGTTCAAATTGAGGATGAATAATTTTCTTAAACTTCCTTTATGAAAATATAAGTCATTAACACTCGTACAAGGATCAAATTGAAAGTAAATCGCTATATCATCATTCAAAATCCAAAAATATACATGGCATCAATAAGCATACGATGACTCATTTGCAAATAATTCAAATCTTAGGGGTACTTACTAATTTACAAAAATTCTATTACCAAAAGTAAATTCGAATAAACTTCATTTTTCAAGTAATTCCACTTATATATGAATATATCTACATTGAAGTAGCATGCTGGAAAAATTACTTGTCTTTTAGTAGCTTGAGTAAATGTCATCTGTCTTTAAGCAACAATGCGCTAAAAATGCTAAGCAAAATAATTCTATCGATTTAGCATATTCAAACTTACTTCAATCGTTAAAAGAATTATTATTGTCTTTAAAGATTATAAGTTTGAACACCAACAATTATAACAACGTAATTAATCTTTTATTATTAAATGATTGAAAATATTTAGAACATATAATACTTTATATTATCTTACCTTAATAAAGAAAATTATAATAATTCACAAGAGAATATATAACATTTTTTTTATACTTATGCACTCAATATTCTAGTATTGTCTCATAAGAATTCCGTAAATTTTATTATTGTCGTTACTATAAATGAAGATAAAGAAGAAGAAAAGTATCATTTTACCTATTTTATGTCGTCTCTTCTTTTTCTTATATAGTTCGTGGAAAAAATGTCTTCTGAATTCTTTCTTTTCACTGATTTAGACACGATTTCTGAGTTATTTCCGAGTTTAATCCATAACGGCAACGTATGGCACCGACCCGGTTAGTGACGGCCATGATACGCTGATACCAATAAAATCTTGCATGCCCATAAAATAAACAACGCCAAGCCATAATGAGCCGAGCCGTACCCCACCGCTTTCCAAATACATTTCATTTGGAATGGATTTTGTGCTAATTTGCATTTGGCCAACCTTGAGTGGTGTAGTGTGTACCTAACCCCAGTCAAATTCTAACCCATCTTTAGTTTTATTTAAAGTGATGGAAACTGGCTACAACCAGCTTGGTTCTGGTTTCTCAAACTCAAACCTCCCTTCCCATTCTTCTTTATCTTTATCAGCACTCTTGTGATTTTGATTTCAGTAATTATGCAAAGCAAAAAAAAAAATATTTATATATTCTTTGAAAGCTTGGGTTTGTTTTGGATGGGAACTGAGAGAAGTGAAGAAACTGTGTTGCAGAAAGACGAGAAATATAATGGTTGGGGAATTGAGAGAGGGCACTGCTTGTTGTATAATTGTAAACTACTACAACCTTATACAAGCTGGTCTTGTTTTAGACAAGGGTCTTACTGTTCTTCCACGTCTGTCTAACAACATTCCTTTGAGTCCTTAAAAAATCTTCTTAAAGATCTTACCAAAACAATTCACTCCCATAACACCTTTTTTTTAACAAGAAGAAGAGATCTGTTGGAAATTTGCTTGTTTTCATCAAGCCATGAACAGATCAATTGGAAGCTCAGATTCATTGGGTGCTTTGGTGTCCATCTGTCCAACTACGGGTCCAATAAAACGATCCCAGTTTTGTACTTTGATTTAGACATGAAACCGAGTTTTAATTACGTGGGTTTGTTTTGTTTTGGTGCAGATGAACATAGTCCGACAAACGACCATATATACAGCGGGGAGTTCCAGTCGATGTTGGAGGGATTAGATGAAGAAGGGTGCCTTGAAGAATTGGGGCACGTTTCTGAGAAGAAGAGGAGATTAAGTGTGGATCAAGTTAAGGTGTTGGAGAAGAATTTCGAGGTCGAAAACAAGCTTGACCCCGACAGGAAATTGAAACTAGCTCAAGAACTGGGGTTGCAACCCAGGCAAGTTGCTGTCTGGTTCCAAAACCGCCGTGCTAGATGGAAGACCAAGCAATTGGAAAGGGACTACGGCCTTCTCAAAACCAGTTTTGATACTCTTAAGGCCAATTATGAAGCTCTGCAGCATGATAATGAAGGTCTTCTCAAGGAGGTAATAATAATACTAAGATTTTACTCATCTTATATGTTGATATGGGATTATTAGAATTGTGTTAAAGTTATATGTTTCTGCAGATAAGAGAGTTGCAGGCAAAGCAGAGTGGGGAGACAACTGTGAGCATTGTTTCGGTGAAAGAGGAGATGATTGTGCACGAAGCTACTGATGACAAAACACAAGAACCCTCTGAGCCTGCAGATCTCAACTATGAGAGCTTCAACCACAGCAATGGATCATTCGGCGCCACCCTTTTCCCGGACTTGAAAGACGGCTCATCGGACAGTGACTCCAGTGCTATCTTGAATGAGGACATCATCATCAACAACAACAACAACAACGTGGCTATTTCTTCATTGTTGATATCATCGACAACATCATCTTCTTCACCGTTCTCCATGGATTGCTTCAATGTCTCCAAGACAACATGTCTACCCCACCAGTATGTGAAGATGGAAGAACATAATTTCTTCACTGCAGATGATGAAGCCTGCAACTTCTTCTCGGATGAGCAAGCTCCGAGTCTTCATTGGTATTGTCCTGAACAGTGGAACTGAAGGAAAAAACAACCATCATGTAACTATGGGACCATACCAAATTCAAGGAAATGAAGATCCCAGAATTTTCTAAGATGGGAATCATGTGAGAATATAAACTACTACCAGTAAAACGGAATTTGGAGAAGATGAAGAAGAAAGAAGAAGGATTCACGTGGGATGGGAAAAGGTGACAAACACCAAAGTGGGGGGGGGGGCCTGCCGGAATGATTAGATCGTAATTGGAAGCTTTTAAATTTTTCTCCTGTGCTGTAAGTGGAAAATTCTCCGTAATCCATTGGTGGAAAGTGAAACTCCCATGAATGGAGAGAAGCTGAACAAGATAATAGTAATAAACATTAATAATCATCATCCATTTTCCTTGTTTTTTTTTTCCTACTTCTGGTTCTTGTTTCCATCCGCAAAGCCCAGATCTCAAAAATGAAAAATTTAATCCAATCATAATCAAGACATGATTTTCACTAGGTAATCAATGTGAATAAAAAACAAATGATGTTACTGGGAAAAGTGGTTTAAAGTGAAGGGTTTCGCCCAAAATTCTAATGTTGCAGAATATTTGCTTTCCATGAAAAGAAGTGCTTGTTTTGACAAAAGTATCGTATAGGTTGATTTAACTATAGATAATTTCTCTTTTATTTTCTTTTTCTATAAGAAAAATAAAACAATTTACCCAACAATGGCAGAAGCATAAAAATCAAATAAATTCAATTTTTTTTCGTAGTTTATAATTAGTTTTATTATATTTTTTTTGAATGAAATGAGTCAAAAACTAGAGATTAACTTAATACAAAGCTAGTGGAACATCTAGAGATGTCTCTTATAAAACATGAGAAGAGCTGCCAGGGGATTTTCCAACACTTGAGAGAAAAGCAGGATAGAAAAGAATTTATGTATAAGTTTATTAATCTCATATTTGACTTTTAAATAATAAAATTTATTTTATTTAACAATAAATAAAAATGTTTATATAATAATATTTAGTACCACTTTAAAAAAAGTAATTTATAATTTCTCAATTAAGTTAGTGTCCCGTTAACCTAGGTTATAGCATCAAACTTAATCAAGATTTTAATATATATATATCATAAAAATATTTAGGTTAGTTTATTTTAAATTTCTTCAAAAAAATATTTTTAAAAGATACAAAGATATTTTTTTTAGCATAGTAATAAAATTAACTCTTAACATTTGCACAAATGATTATTTTATCCCTTATATTTTTAGAGTGTTTTAATCACATTATTTCAATTTTTGACCAAAATAACATATGTTAAATGAAAATTATTAGTTAATCAACATATTTTATTGATATGTCATTTTCAAATGTATTTATTTTGATAATATTTTATGTATAACATATTTAAATGATGATATGTCATGTCATATCAATTAATGTGATGATGTTACTTCCACATCATTTGCGATGGTGATGTAACTGATTGACGACATTAACGATGAATGGTGTTAATAAATGGGCGTTTTAATAAGGAAAATATATTTACGAAGTAGAATAATATTTTACGGAATCACATATTCGTGTTTGGTTCAAAAATATTCTCAGCAAGAGGCAATGAAACATTACCAACAATGTTTTTTTTTACCTTGAATTTCCAGGAATCACATTCCTCTCCTTTTCGTATTAAACAATTCTCTCTCCTTTGAACAATAATACCCCGGAATAATATAATTATTTCAAAATGATCATTTCTTTTGTATATAATTACACTAGTATAAATCTATTTTATTTATTTTGAATGAATTATAAAATTTTTAATACTTATTAAAAAATAATATGATGCATATAAAATAAAAATATATCAAATTTCTTATTTTATTTTGATTATATTTACGTATGTGTTCGATTCAAATTTTATTTATTTTTGTATATATTTTATTACATGTATTATTTAGGATTAATTTTCTTAAAATATTTTTGATTTCCAACTCATACATGTAGCATAAAAAAGTAGCAATTAACACATATTTATATCGGTGTAAGTCTTTATATCTTCTGACCTAAAAATAAATATATACTTACACTGGTGTAAGTATGTACATCTCCCAACCTAAATAAATACATATTTATACTGGTGTAAATATGTTTTAATATTTTTAAAGAAATAAAAAATTAAATATAATAAAATATATATTAAGTTGTTTGTGTTCAAATTTTATTTAAAATATATATATTAAAAAATTTGTTTTCTGTGATTAAAAAAGAAAATCTATCTCAAAGACAACTTGGTAAAATACATTTTTTCTTATCTTATATTCTTTCATTCAAACACTGTAATTTTATATTCCTGCCAAACAAACCAAATAAGAAAATATAAAATTCTCACTAATGTGCTAATTAATGTAACATTCCGATAATCTTATTCCCAATAGTAATCTTACATTTCGTGAACCAAACTACTCCTAAACGGTTTAGATTGGAGATTTTAGGAATTTGATTTTTTTTAGATTTAAAACAAAATAAAGTTTTTTTAAATAAATTCTTTTTTTATTTTTCTAAAATATAATTTAAAAAAAGCGATACTTATTAGATAATAATTTTTTTAATAATCATGACCAACAATATTTAAAAAGATGATAATGAAAACATTAAATACACATTAACAAAAAAATTATATACCAAAACAGAAAAATGTATTATTTTAAAAAAAATTAATTAGTCATCAAATATAGTCATTGAAAAGGAAACAGTGGAAGCATTATAGGAGTAAAGTAGCAGCGGAACCCTCGAAAGCTCCCCAAAAAATGATTAAGCTAAGGTAGGACTGAATCATAAGGCCCTATAAAATAAAATAGTAGCAAACACAAATTACAAATTTTGAGAGGCTGGTGCTCACATATTTTAAGCAAAAAATATCACAGGGTAATGCACTTTTGATAGGGAAACGGTGGCGGGTTAATGAACGTTGCTCTTGTTGAAGAATCAAACCTAGAAAAGCTCTAGACTCGATGAAGAACAAAGGTGATGAATATGGGAAGGTGGCGGCAGTCGCTAGGATTGTTTAGGGTTTCTTTTATGTGCTGGAATCAAGACAACACGATTAGAATAAAATAAACAAAAGATAAATAAATGAAAGATTAAATAAGATAATAAAGAAATCAAAAGATCTCCCTTATAAAGGTGAACGGTAAAGATGATTGATGGTGCGGATGGATTTGTGGAAAAATAAATGGATAAGTGTCCTATCGAGCCCTCCTAGTCGCAATGAAAAGGCAAACACGATAAATGGCTCTAACCAACCCTCCTAGTCGCGATGAAAAGGCAAATTGGAGTGTGAAGATTAATCTCCCTCACAAGAACTTGAAAGAACTCCAGGAGAAGAAGCTTCGAAGGCACAAGGCAATCAGCACTTGCAAAAAACGAACTCTCGTTGTATTATTAATCAAAGAAATCTAATTTACAAAGTAGAATGAAGCCTCCTTTTATATAGGGGCCGAGTTTTAAAGGTCCTAAATAACTAATGAATAAAATAATAATAAACTAAACATGTCTTAACTCTAATTCCTAATAAAATAATAATAACTAAAGATGATATTTTAACCCAACCTTAATTCCTAATAAAATAATAAATCTAATCCTAAAAGATAATGCATCATCATTTATTAAGTTATATTACAAATAATCAATATAAATATTAAAAATTCGTAATATTTACAAAATAACGTATTAATCCCGTATAGGATTTCCTGCATGCACCGTCTTCAGTAAAATGACCATATCTTGAGTTCCCGATATCGGATTGATGCGATTCAAGAACCGTTGGAAAGATAAGAGACAGACGGTTGTATCTCCAGAAGACATGTCGACCAAATAAGATCAGGATCCCATTCAAAAAGTCGTCACAAGTCTGCTCTGATCTTCTTTTCCAAAGCTTGGACGAGTGGATCATTTGGAAGAGTTATTACTTCTTCCTTACATGTGAACCTTGTGATGCATGTATCAACTTTGTAAAAATTTATTATGGTCTCTTGTATTATTTTTTTAAAGTGGCTCTTCAATTAGAAAATAAATATAATGTGATTTTTTAATTAATATTTTTTGTTATTGAATATTATAATATTGATTTAGTAATTTGTGGTGTTAACTTGGTGATCTACAGTGGCTGATGATGTGATATATAAAATGATAAATGGACTAAATTAGTTTAATTTTATTCAAAGGTCAAATTGATTTTTAAAAAGTTAAAGGGTTTATTTAATTTTTTTAAAGAATAAAAATCATTTAAAATTATAAATATAAAAATTTTCAAATTTTCAAAAATTAAATATAAAAATACGAAAAAAATTTAAATTACTAAAAATTAAATATACATATTAAAAGTATTATAAAAAATTAAATAAATAATATGTTATTAAATAATTACTTATAAATCATTAAAAGTTAAAGATATATTATACATAATATAGGAAAATTCGACAACGTTCGACAAGCACCGATGAACACCACTAATGATGAACACTGTTATTTTAATTTCTAAAATTTAAAATTCTAAATTATTTAACGTATAATTATAATTTAGTTAAAAATTCAAAGATAAATTATTTAAAATAAAAGGTAAACTTTATCAGTGACCACCTAACTGTGGCTCCTTTTCATTTTGACCACCATTTTCAAAATTTTGTCAATCGGGTCACTCATCTATTTAAATATATTCATTTAAGCCATTTTCCGTTAATATTTAACGGAGAAACTGACGTGGAAGTTAAAATATTTGATATAATTACACATTTGGTCACTGTTACTTATATATTCTATCAATTTGGTCTTAATTGTAATAAATTAAAATAAACTTAACCTCAAATCAAATGGTGTCATGTGTAATTATTTTAAATTTTAAAATTTCGAGGGTTAAGTTTATATATTCTATCAATTTGGTCCTAATTTTAATAATATATTTAGATTTTTTAACGATAATGTTTCTTGAAATTTATGACCGTGTACTTATTACTTGAATTCAACTCTTCAAATACACATATTTTAAATTAATTATCCATGACAACCACATTTTACTTAAATGATAGTTGTTTTGGATAAATATGTTCTTTGTAGCACCATAAAATTTATGATATTGTACAAATCTAAATCATATCAAATTTAAAATAAATTTGATATTTCAAAATTATGTACTAATCATATTAATGACTTAGACCAAGTTCAATGTCCAAATAATTCGGTTAAAGGTTCTAACTGAGAATTGATAAAACAAAAGTTCTTAAAGGACAATTAACCTAATAACACAATGTTTAGCATAATATTTTGAGTAAATAACTCATTTTTCCTTAGTTTTGAAAGATTATG